TTTCTCTCTTTCTTTTGTTCTCCTCTTTTGCTTGATTATCACAGTGGAGTAGTCATCATGTGAAGGAGCTACATCCCAGAACGAGAGTATTCAGTACCAAGTGTTGTATAAGAAATTACTACAATTAATCCAGCTCCCTGAGGGCAGATAAGTTGCCAGGAAATGAAGCCACTCTAGAAAAGAAATCCCATCCGTCACTCTGTGGAGACTTAATGTTGACATTTGGGTGGTCCCATTATTTTGACCTTAGCTTGTACGTAATTTATCATAAAAAGCGCCTGCTGATCAGATAAGCTGTCTGTTTCAGCTGTGAAACATATATATCAAAGTGCTTTTCTGAAATCACTGAAGTGCAAAATTACAGCTCCAGTTACCTAACAGAGTCCTATCAAGTTTGTGATTAGGTGTCCAACCTGAATGTGAACCAATATCCAGTCGTGATTGTTCTCTCGGCCACCGTGCTGCCGCCTCCTTGAAATATAGATGAGTCATGTGTGTCACTAATCATCTGCACGCTTCCATCGGACTCTTGAGTGGATTTGAGGGGCAGGGCACCTGAAAACAAACCAGTGACATGCTCTGAATATTTAAAAGGAGGAGCTTCTTAAATCCTCGGTTACTACGGGAACGCTTGAATTTGTAATGTATTAACTTATCGCAGGGTGTCCGCAGGGTCTTAAAGTCTAAAATATAATAATCCGAATTTTTAGGTCAGGTCTTTGCTTTTCAATCCTGCACAAGTAATCTCTCGGGTTAACATCTTCATTCATTACTCTGATGTTGCTGTTACGTTGACACTCCATACACAATTGACTAGAGAAGCAGAAAAGGAGAGACTACTTCCCTGACTTGCTCCTGCTAAAACGAATAGTCTTACATCTGTGCATGGTGTTCTGCTTGACTGGATTTGTCTGCCAGCTTGCCTTTGTCAGAGCCAGACAGAAACCAAGAGAGGGAGAGAGAAATATGGAAGGAGAGACCAGGAAAGCTTTGCTCTGCCAGATGCTCACATGCCACAGAGAAGAGACAAAAAGAGCCAGAGGGTTCAGGGCAGCAAGATCATCCCTCCTCTCTCTTCACCTCATCTTTCTTCACTATCCTATTCACCTGCATGGCAGATAAATCGTCATAAGCTTCAAAACTGGGGGGAAAGCGAACTTACTGCGGCTTCCAGATCCCCAGGCTCCCTGGAGAACAGCTAAATGAGCAAAATCCTAAAAAATCCCATTTGCTGAGGAGAACCAAGACTAAGAAAATAACCAGGCAACCAGTCTTTTACTAAAAGGAGGTGTGACATTTTGTGGGTGGCGGTTTTATTTTGTAATTAAGCACTGATTACCACATGGGCAAGCTTTTAACAAAGCAGGCTTTTATTTATTTAGTTAGGGAACCATGTATATTAAATCAATTCAAAGCTGTACTGTCGACAGTGCATTTTGTGGAGTGGTAAAGAAGAGCTCCATTAATAATTAGTTTTCTTTTTCTTTCTAATGATGCTGAAAACAAAACGAAAAACAATAAATTAAACCAGTTCTAATGAGTTAATTTAAAAGGAGCAGACCCATCTTTAGTTGCAGGATGAACAAACATTCATCATCATCTGACCAAGAAAGCTGGAACTTGCCAGTTGAAACCTGGATTTAGGTTTTTCTGTTGGCCAACACTTACATGCAGCATAGCAGTTGAGAGGGATGGGTTTGGAGGACAGGAAGAGTAATTTGAGCAGAGAAGAGGAGGAAAAGGAAATGGGATAATGAGAGAAAAGTAGAGAAGAAATTAGGAGGGAAGACTCTGAGGGGAGAAGACTGGCTTTAAGAATATGATTTTGAAACCGAGCAAAGTAGGGACGTACCGAACCGATGCGCTGAATAAATATCACTGATGGGACTGCAATTATTAATTTTTTTGTCCATTAATCTTTTGAATTTTTTTATGATTATTCGATTAATGTTTTTTTCTTCTAAAAATGTCTTCACAGGTCTTGTTTTGTCCACCAACACAACCAAAGACATTCAGTCAGATCTTTAAAAGGATGCACCTTACCAGTATTTTGTTTCCCTTGCTAAACCAAAGTCATACAAGTTCCAATGTTATATACCCAGGATCAATACTCAAAGGGGTAAAAAACTGATGAAGGCTACCAGGCCGAAAGCATATTTATTTTGACATGGACAGAATAAATTGGTGAAATTGAGATTAGTAATTTTGTCCTGGCGCTACCTTTTTACCCTTTTTTCCGAATGCTTGCTCACATTTGAGATGCTGAAAATGCAAAATCCATTAATCAGCTTATCCTTTCAGCCTTAATCAGCTCTAAATCTGACCTTTTTAAGATGATCGGGTATTGGTCATGATGACTTTCAGTGTTTGCCCTATCAGCTGCATTCATTCAGTCATGGTGGGATGCCAATGAGTCTTTAGCAGGACAGCACTCTCTAGCATTGTTACATAAAAGTTACTCAAATTAACACCGACTTTGAATTAATAATATGAAGGGATAAAGAGCACTGCATCGGTACTCTGCATCAGCAAATACTCTTAAATTGCGGTATCCGGATTGGTATCTGAAGAAAAAGAGTTGCATCAGTTCATTACTTAAGGACCGCAGACTAGAGGAGATGGTATGTAGTGGGAAGTGAAGAGGAGGTGGGAGGAAAGGACAGTAGAAGTGAAAGGAAGAGAGGAGCAACAAGGACGCTCAGAGAATTTTGGATGTCTGCCCTGCTATTGTAATGCTGCCAAATCCCCTCTTGGACCCGAGAGCAGCTCAAGCAGCTGAGACAACTGTGGGAGGTTTCGGAATGCTGAGATCCTTCTCAACTAAGGGCAAAGAAACATCTACTGCAATGATGAAGAGGCAGGTTATCATTTTCATTTGGATATTATTAGATTATTCCATAAGTGATGCATCTCACACAGCTCGACTTTGTAGTCAAATTTCATTGCACGGGCATTCAATTAAAATAATCTGTCAGAGAATCTCCAGTCGAATCCTTGATTTCTGAGTGGAATTGACATTTCTTTATGAATACTGCATCATTGTCAACAGGGTGTGTGACAAAATGCATGATCCAAGCTTTAAAAACTGTCAACTTATGATGAATGGCTAGACTGCTGCGTGCCGCTTGAGTTTTCCTACGAGGAAGTGACTTCACCCAACCAAGCACTGACCGCAGCTGGCACTACTGCACTACTGACTGCGCTGTCAGCCCCTGGGTGTGGTCCCACCAGGATATAGAGGCAGTACCAGAACCTAGATAGCTCACTACATCACTGGCTAGCATGCTACTGAGCTAAGTAGCACATGAGCTTATTTTACTAGACAGGCAGTCTACAAACATGCATTCATTTATTTGATAGCCCCCCATGTAGACACTTTGCAATCACCCTTTAAAGATCAATATCTGTTACAGGTCCAGTGTGTAACATTTAGGAGGATCCATTGACAAAATGCAATATATTATTCATAGGTATGCTTTCATTACTGTATAATCACCTGAAAATAAGAATCATTGTGTTTTTGTTACCTTAGAATGAGCAGCAGACTTTTAGGTTATCAGACCCAGAAGTTAATATCCCACCCTAATTAGCATCGCCATCATGTCAGGAACATTTTTGCCCATAGGCAGTAAAACCATGACATTGTCACCTCATCCACTGTTTCTGTATGTTTGTAGCATAACTCTCCAGAACAAAACATGGCACATAACACAAGACTACAGAGAAACACATTTGCAAGAAATTATTCATTTACACAGGGACAAAAATGGTGACACTTTCTATTTATAAAGGACAAGGTCATAGACACTGATGTTTCATGAATATCACAGTATCATTACACATTAATGTAAAGTCCCTCAGACAAATGAATTTTTTAATTGAATATGCTTGTAGAATAGATGGACTCAGCGGAGGTTTATCAGTCACCGTCTCCTCCACCCTGTGTAATGAGTTTCAGTAATAGAGTGACTTCCAGATCAGCCAGTTGAAAAACAGATGTGCAGCCATCAGATTTACTCTCTTCAACTGCCCCATCTGTCCCAAAAAGGTGATCAGATGTCCAACGTGCATGTAACAGAAATGTAGATAACCACACTAAAACATCACACACGACACATTATCTTTAGCTGCAGACGCAAGAAAGTTACTGGAACTCAAGAGGACAGAAAGTCTTTTGAGAAAAAGGAAATGAAGTTCAATTTGTCTCTTTCTTTTAATTTTTTTATGATGAGTAATGCACTTTACAGAGAAATGACTTTCCACTGATTTATTTTGGTTAGATGATAATGAGAAAACAAAGACACCACCTATCTCCAGCTTTACTTCAATGAAATGTATCTGCATGTTACTGAATTTCCACAAATTTAACTGATTTGTAATTTATGCTGGAAAATATGTAAATCAAATTTGTCACACCTCATTTATGTTTGCCACAGTCCATCATTAAATGCATTCTTTTGTGCTTACGTTACTCGATATGGGCTTTAAATGATAATGACATAGAAAAGCTATCATTTAGATGATGCAACATTTGCAAAACAGTAATGTACTTTTCTGTCCCCACAAACTTTAGTGAGGGAAAAGGTGTTGTGCAAATGATAATTTGTAATTTATCGCATTTTGTAGTCACTGTCAACTACAGCAACATGACATTAAAAATCAGTGATATTGCTTATCAATACTAGCATTTCAAGTGAAGCAACAAGTTTGAACCATAATTTATATTACTAATGTCCCAACCACATCTTCCTTAGAAACTTTAATAGTTGGTAGGACTATGAACTGTGAATGCAATTAGACCATGTCAGCACGGACTATATTAACACTTTTTATCTGGAGGCTCAACAAAGCTGTGATGAACTGAAACTTTACTGATCTTAAGTAATGTTCTTTATGATGGAGACTGTTTATCAGTAGCATTTATAGCTGGTACACAAACTGCTTATTATTTTCAATTCCACTGCAACCCGTTTGTGTTGCGGATTTAAGACTGTCAGAGTAATATGGATTTGTGTTTTCAGACAAAAAATTTTTTGGCCTCAATAAACTACCCTAATCCTGTGTAACTAGCTGCACCAACTAACCAGCAAGTGCTACACAACAAAATAAGCTGCTTCTAAAATTGATGTTCAGAAAACAGTTTGTAAGTTTTTTAATCCACCACATCTATGGTGAAGGTCTGGTTAAGTTAGGGCAACCAAATCCATATAGTCCAGGTTGGGGAAACTGTGACATCCTGGTAACTGCCCCGACAATAGTCAAGTTCCCATCCATTTCCAGAAAACTGTCAAAGAAAGAAAAAAAGGGAAATGAATGCATGTTTACATCAACTGCTGTTATGTGAATATTGGGAGTTAGAGATATCAAGATTGAAACATTTGGTGGCACTAATTCTGCAGCTTTCTGGGTTCTATTAAACTATTGCAGAAGAAGATGCAACAAAGCAATGTCATTAAAAGAGTGCCATCTAAAGCTCAAACAAATGAAAACAATGTGGAAAATATGATGGAAATATGGCGTTATTAATTGTTTCATGTAATAATTTGCGGAACTTAACAGTCTCATCGCTCCACATAGATCTGATGTTTTCCTCTCTTCAGTGGAAACTTGAGTGACGTTAAAATTACATGCTTCATAATTTCTTCACAAAGTCTCTTTCCATTGCACTTTGTTGCATTTTGTTTGCATCAATACTACAACTTTTCCACCTCAGCCAGGCATAACAATGTGATTGCTATATTTCCACTTTATTTAGATTTTCCAGTGTTTCCACTTAGCCCTTTTTAATGTGCAAATTGAAAATGCACTTAAAAATGAGTGGACACACACTTTAATGTCACTTTACCAGCATTGCTATTTAGAGAGGACACTAATTACATTCATAACTGCAAGAGATCTCTTGTTAAAAAAAATACATCAACATAAGTTGTTATAAGTTGTTGGAACAACTGACTAATGCTGACATTTTTCTGTTAAAAGCAGACTCCAGTTGGTGTCAGAATTCCTCGTGAATACCGTTTCAGTTTTCTGCATTGCATATCTAAAATAATGCATGCATAAGTCTGAAATTACATGGCCTATTTCTTGCCTAATTTAGGAGATTTTTTTACAGTTTCCAGAACAGCCAGTGTGTCTTTCCAGTAAATAAAGACCAGTGACAGAAAGCACATTCATCCAGTCAGGTGTAGGAGGCACTCATGTTGATGCCTTGGTGAAGGAAAGCTTCGAGCTTATACCTCCTGAGCCTGACAAAACCACATTGAGAAAACTGAGGCTTGTTCTATTCATAAGAATGATGGGAAGTCGATGTCTAATTAAGTCTCTATGTTTGCATATTCTGTGTTTTCTGGAGGGTTTGTACGTATACGCATGCACTTTGACATCTCCCCATTTGCGTACATCGCTGTATCAGTTTGTGTTAGTCTCATTATGTGCAGCTATCTGTTAATGAATGCACGTCTACCATCCTCTTCTGTCCTTTGGCTTCTTCGCCGCTCCATTTTATCTGCAGTCAGATCCGGTTGCTCTAATGCACGGAGACATGATCAGGTGCTGCACTTGGAAATTAGAGAGTTAAAGGAAAAAAAGGAAAAAGGATTTCACACCCGAGTTGTCAAGTGAATTGAGAATTATAATTTACGCAACTCCTCTTTAATTCATAAACCTTAAATTAAATTAATTGAGCAAGTACAATTCAGTAAATGCAATGTAATACTCTTCCTAGCTCATTAATACGACTGCAACTGTGATACAGGCATGATTACCAGTCCACCTTTGTTCCTTGAAAGAATTCTTTAAAAAAGGACCCAACAGCCAGAGGCCAACAGATCTGTCATAGCTGCAACTTCTTTGTAACTCATTTTTTATTCCTTAATCGTGCACCTTTGCCGTATTCATCTCTCTGGCATTCTTACTAGCCAATCTCACATCTGAATAGGTACTGTATGGGGTAGAGCTATTAATGCCCCACTGAGTAAAGGATTCACTTTTCTCTTTCCCTCTCTTTTAGGCGAGCAGAGTGAATTGCAAGCAGTGTGTGATACAGATTCACTGTAACCGACAGCAGAATAATTTCAAGTGTTTTCAAAGGCTAAACACAAAGGGAAATAACACCTGAGATTGTTGGTGTTATTTATATTTCAGTTGCATGGTTTTAAGTGCCAAGAACAAATAGAAAAGTGTCTGAAAGAGTGTGCACTGACCTTCCTGTTTCATGGTCCTGTGTTAATTTTTCATAGTCTGAAATGTCTCTCGAAGACAAAACAACATTTTTGTATCTACTATGCATGAGTAATTAGGCGTTTTCTGGAAAGCTCGGTGTGTGACTCAGCATCACTCTGTATGGCTGGCACATCTTACAAAACAATAAAAGAACAAAGAGGATAACCACAATGTCTTTTTTGTGCTTTTGCAAAAAAAAAAGGAATTTTTCAGCACAGCCTCATGTGTAGTCTGAAAACACACACACACACACACACACACACACACACACAACTCTAATTTTCTCTTTAGAAACAAAACATTTTAATTTACAAGCTCATGTTTTTGTCTTTAAGAGTGATAATGTAATGTCGCTTATGATGGCCACAAACACTCAAATATGAAATGATGCTCTTTCTTACTGTCTTAAATTACAGTAACACTAGGTAAGATTATTAAAATAATATTATGGCATTTAACTTCCAAAATTACAACCCAATTGACCAGTTGCTAAACCCCTCCCTTGGACAGTGATTGTCCAATCATAGCTTAGAAACTGTAACTAGGTATACCACTCCGTCAAGCTTCTTTACTTACTGAAGCAAAAACACAAGAGCAAACGTTACTTAACCTGCAATCATTAACACGTTTGGCTAACAAGCTCACTACCTGCAGTAATAACTGAGCTGCAGAGGTCAGTCCCGGATGCTACCAGAGTTCAACAGCTCTTTATTGGATTTGGGGAAGTTTATACTCCAGAAACCCCAGCAAACGTGAATCGAGGATTATCTGTTCAGTTCAGAATACCACAATACCAGGTCTAACTAGTGCTACACTGCAGTAAAAGAACAGTGCTGCTTCTTTAATTTCATGTATTCTATGTCAATCAACTGGTAAGGATGCAGATTTTTTCCGCTGCCAGGTATATGCAGGGTTGGCCTCAGTCTGTTAGCAATATATCATGTATGAAGCCATCAAGTGCATTATAAGACCCATTTTACAGGATTATCATTTATGAGTCAGCCTGAAATATTAAGAAGTCAGCCAGAGATGGCGTTTACAACCTGCTCATGGAGCTAACCTTAGCTTAATTAGCCTGCTGGCTGACAACATTTTCTAGGGGCAGTTGTCATTTCAGGAGGCAAAAATTGTCAGTGGACGGCTAGAGATGATAAGCCTGTCTACCTCTGTCTGAGATTAAAGAATTTCAAGTGCTAATTCCTCCACCATTATAATTATAAACTGCATATGTGCCTTGCAAAGAAGAAAAGCTTCATACGCGTAGCAACAATTACTAAGCGGGACGGAGCTTAGAGTACAGTCATTTTTCATCATACGTCCAAAAGCAGCCGTCCAAAGCAGGAACCTGTAAATATGCCATGACATTTGGTATTCATTATTTTTTCTTTCCTCTCTCGTTTTCTGCCACTTTATCAGTCCAGAGGTTTAAGCCATAGATAAATGTGTCCATACAATGCATGTCTGTTATACTATGTGAGTAGTATAGATATGCATTATTTGCATGCAAATTTCCTTACGCAGTGAATGAAATTGGCTGAGGAAATAGAAAGAGCCAACATGGCAGCAGAATCTCACGCCTCAGTACACTGTAAGGTGTCAAGGGAGCAAGTTGGCAAAGCCCTGCTTTACATTCAAGGCTGAGTGGGGCCATTTCAACCAAAGGTTATACACTTCATATTAGTTAAATGAAGTGAACAAGTCTAGATAAATGCCAAAAAAAAAGGAAAATAAAACTGCCAAGACAAGTTTTTTTAAAGTCACTCACTACATGCTGCCAGGAGTTTTGCAGCACTCTGGCATTGATTCAGCTGGTGTCTACACCTACTGTAATGGAGGGATGCAACAACAGCACTTCACTAAGATTATCAGAAGGCTTATGATGGGTTGTCAATACTAAAACACTAGGTTAAGTTCTATACTCGTGTGGCAAAAAAAACAAAAACAAATATTTCTTTATACACAGCAACCAATTTGGTGACCAGCAGTTGCCTTCTGTTCTCCTGACAGGAAGCTGTTTTTATTAGTATACAGCTATCAGAATTGGACCATTATGGTGTTCTCAGGATGATTAAGTGCTAATTTTAAGCATCAGAGGGAAAAACACTAAACAAAATGTAATCCTACCCCTAATCTTCCTCACACCTCAATGGTTCACACTGGTATGGAAGTGTCATGCACAGTGATTGACAGTGTCTTCTAGCTGGAGTTGTATTTGAGCATTTTTTCCATTTATGACTGAAGAAGAATCGTTTCAATTTGTGGACTTGAGACAGGAAAAGTGATCCCTGCGTACATATGTTCAGACAGGTGCAAGGAGAATGAGTAGAGAGTAAAAGTTACAAAAATCAGCTCCAATACCCTACGAGCATTATATGGTAAATTTACTGAACAGCTAAGCTTTGGTCAAGCATCTTTCATCAAGCAGTTACAGTACTGTGCAAAAGTATTAGGCAGGTGTGAAAAAATGCTGTAAACTAAGAATGCTTTCAAAAATATAAATAATGATTGTTTATTTTTATCAATTTACAAAATGCAAAGTGAGCAAACAAAAGAAAAATCTAAATCCCATCAATATTTGGTGTTACTACCCTTTGCCTTCAAACCAGCATCAATTCTTATAAGTACACTTGCAAAAAGTCAGGGATTTTGTAGGATTGTAGTCAGGTGTATGATCAACAAATTATACCAAACAGGTGCTAATGCTCATCAATGTCACATGTAGGTTGAAACACAGTCATTAACTGAAACAGAAACAGCTGTGTAGGAGGCTTAAAACTGGGTGAGGAACAGCCAAACTCCAAGGTGAGGTTGTGGAAGACAGTTTCATGTCACAGGTCATACACTATGGCAAGACTGAGCACAGCAACAAGACACAAGGTAGTTATCCTGCATCAGCAAGGTCTTTCCCAGACAAATATTTCAAAGCAGACTGGTGTTTCAAGATGTGCTGTTGAAGCTCTTTTGAAAAAGCACAAAGAAACGGGCAATGTTGAGGATCGTAGACGCAGTGGTCGGCCAAGGAAACTTAATGCAGCAGATGAAAAACACATCAAGCTTATTTCC